GAACCAATCGAGATAATTAAATTTAATTTTTGAATTACAATCACCAACCAACTTCTCAGAACATGTTAATAATCGTCCAAAATGAATCCAAAATCAAAATTCGCGCCAATTGTTTTCCTCAGAAGAAAAAAGCGATTTCTGAAAATTAAAACCATCCACCTCGACGAGAGTTAAATTTCAATTATTTCCTTTTCCGCGACATCGATAAAGACCGCTGCGAATCATCAACTGGTAGGAAAAAAAAAAAAAAAAAAAAAAAAAGAAAAAGAGAGAGGAAAAAAAAAGAAAAGAATCGACAAAATCGAAAGAGCGAAGAGGAAAAAGTGGCGAGAGAAACACTTTCGATTCACGCTAATAACTTTCAATTGGAATCGAATTCACGATGGAAAAGGTAAAACCGATTCGAAGAGGGGGGAGGAGGAGGAGGAAGGCACGCTTTTGGCCACATTGACCCGGATCACGAGATTTCTGTGTGACAGGCCGGTGACGAGACTAAAGGTTGCGCCACAATTTCACGGGTGAATTTAGCTACGTTGCACGTGAAATCCTTTGGAATCCTTGTTGTTGGACGATATAAAGGGACTCTATACAAACGTTATCACCATTGGCTGACGCGTAATCAACGTAGAAAACGAAATAGCTCATTTGCAGTGGTACGATTAGCCGGAGCTAACAATCGTACCAACTAATCTGTCTGATCTCTACGTCGCTCCCCTTTCATTCTCTTCATACTTCCATATGATAAAATTCAGGAGAATTCGTGTAACTGGTCGTGTAAAATTATGTTCAGAAAAATATTTCCATTATTGCATATAAAGTAATAATTTATAAAATTATTCAAAAATGATAGTGCACTGTCGAATGATATTTCTTGCGTTCGTCTATTTAAATTTTTTTTAATTGGGATAAATGCAATTGTTTTATTGTAATTGTGTTATTGTAACCAAGAAAAAGAATCGTAACATTGATAGAATTTTCGAAAAAAGTTGAATCAAAGGAATAAATTTTTCATTTTCTCTTATTTCCTGCAATCCTAGAATTCATTTTGTAGAAACATAATATAATCTACGTAAATTGAAATTGAATGTTATACTTTTTGTTCGCGTACAAATAGATACAAACTGGAAATTTATTTTTTTATGGATTTTATAAAAAAAAGTTTTATAGCCAATTAAAAGTTCGTGGTTCGAAATTGAATATTACATTTTCCATTTGTATAAAAGTATTTCGAATATTTTTCAATTAAGATACTAGAAAAATATTGGTATTTGAAATATTTTTCGATGCTTCAATGCGGTATTATTTTTATTTGCATTGTCCACATGTTAAAGAATTCGGTTTAATTCGCGTATGTAAAATATCGAAGTCAATACGATTCTTAAATAAAATTTCCTCTATTTGTTTTTAAACATTTGCTTAAAATTTATATATTTTATCAGTCTACGAATTATATTTTTAGACACAGAATCAAAGAATATAATATAATATAACAAACTATTCTTTCTTTCTCGAAAAGACAACAATGAAAGCATTGTCATATTACAATTTCACAGAATTATACAGCACTCAATTTCATTACTCGTAAAAATGGACAGAAATCGACGTGCAGGGAACATCTAAATCGATTCAGAATAATGTTCAATTCTCAATGAATCGTAAAAACAAATGATATTATAATAATATTTTTTTCGCGTCAATATACACAAATTGCTCGACAAATTGCATAGCAGTTGCTCGGATTCGACAGAAAAGGGCCGACCGTTATTTTACTCCCCAGTTACAAACAAGATATAACACTAGGGGCGCAATATGGAATCTTGTTTACGTTCCAGTGAGCCGTCATCCCTCCACGGTTAATAAATTTCAAAGATTCGCATCCGTGCGTTTCAGCGGCGTGGCGAACACTCGATTTGCGATACATCATCCGGCGAAATGCTTTGCAAAATGCTCGTTCGATCCAGGTTGGAAGGTGAACGAATTGGAAAGTAACACAAGCTAACTGGATGAGCACCGATTTCGTGCTCGCCTGCGCCCTCATCGATATTTCAGGTGGCGTCGCGCGGTCTCTCCTCACGGAAGAAGTCGTCGACGAAAGAGTAGTAAATTCTATTGCCAACGTCGCGTGCAGCTGCTGCTGCTGTACCTGGTTTTTCCGTTGCATAATAGAACAACGCGGCCAAGTTTCTGGCTTTGACGCGGTTCATCCCCGGCCGCTCTTTGGGGATGGCCTTCGTTCCATGCGACAATTTGCGATTCTCATGGTGGCTCCATGGTTTTTGGGACCGGTGGCGGAATAAACGAGACCATTCTCGCGGATAAATGTGCGGATGTGGCGTTATCGATGCGTGTTTGGTCGCGTTTCTGCGTCCAAGGTGTGTTCACCGCATGTGAAACAAGTTTGGGTATGGTTCGACACGAGAATGGTGGAAACGGAGAGTGTAGGTTGGATATTTTGGTATTATGTTAAGTTATTTAGTGATTATTCGATTATTTGTTTGAGCAATAAATGGTTGGTGGTTGTGTTAGATATTGTTTTATAAATGGTAATTGTTTGAATTAATTCAATGTAAAATATTTATAATACAAATTCCTTTAGGAATTTATTCATAAATATGATTTCATAAATGCATGGGATTGTATTGTAAAAGAGAAAATTAATTTGACAAATATGTAAGAAATAATAATATAGAATTAATTTTAATAAAGGAATAATTATATTCTATGTGAATTAATTATATGTATTTTTGTACTTTTTAGTGCTCAAGATTGTTATTTAAATATTGTAATTTAATGTTCATGATATATAAATGTTCATATATGATTCATCATATGTTATATTAATAAAATTCTTTTACTTTTCTTATTTAGATATTAGTAAACAAATAAAAAAGACAGATATAATATTATAATACAAATAATATTATTTTATATTTATTTATTTCAATTATTTTAATATTTCATAAAAAATATAATGAATAGAAGCTATTATATATATATGTATATATAATATATTTTATATATATTATATATAAAAAATAGCTATTTTTAAAAAAAATTATGTTTTTAAATTTCAAAAAAATCAAGTAATTATAGTAATTTATTAAAATTATACAATTAATAATTAAATTTTGGTAATTGTATATATTAAATTTTTAAACGATCTCCATATTGATATTTTGACTAAAGAAAGAAAATCTTTGAAAATATAAATATGAAATATTTTATTTAAATATTGTTAGATTTGAAATTTTTTAAGATTTTTTTAACATATATTTGTTATATCTGCTTTTTTTAAAAAT